TCTCTAGGGAGACTGGCTCATAGTAGCTTTTACATTTGGCTTGCTAAATACTGGGTTATTTTAATGGCCATTCTCTATGCATCTTTCTGCAGAAATCTGGATGTAGGACTTTTAAAGTATCTGTTTTGTTTAATTAATTTACCTACTCTAATTATCACATAGCAGACTAGGATGCTACACTGTATTTAAAAAAAAAAAAAAAAAAGTTTCAGAATCAGTTTCACCAGTGAAAGGCAGGACTCTCTGGTGGGGTTTTGCACCTTCTCTATACAAACTTCTCTGTTATCTCTTACCCTGAGTTGCAGCTGTAGTATGAAATAGAGACTTCATTTATCCACTGTGGAAAGAGAGACTACAGATAATTTATAGGTTAAAATTAGCAAGAGTGTAAAAATCCACTACAAAAATCATTTGCACACAAGTCAACATATAGATTAGTTTTACACTTCTCAAAATCCTGGAGGAGGATTGAAATTCCTGTACTTCTGTGACTGACAGCCAGCTAGTAGCTGGTCCTTTTCTTATGCAGACTCCATCATTGACTCTCTTTAAGAAAGTCTTGTGACTCATTTACTGTTCCATTCCCACCAAAGCAGATACCTGGATTCATAAAACTGTCTGCCGTGTAATAATTTCTGCTATATAAGATAAAACCACGATTGTGGTAAATCCATTGCAAAATAGGATCTTTAGAAGTACTAATGGATCTCTTGCCAAACTGCTTAAATCATAACAACTTGTCACAAGAAGATCATATGTTTATAATCTTTTTATGATACTGAAGCCTTATACAGCTGTTTTTTTGTAATACTTTTGTAGGCAGTTTAAAGCCATCTGGTGCATGTATTGCCAGGTATACATGATTTAAAGCAGAGGGTCACAAATCTGTGTTGTTGCGACTACACATGTACCTCCAGCAAATTCATGATATTTTCTCAGTGTATGACAGAGGAGTTGAAATGGAATCTTGCCATTTTTTATTTGTACATGGTGACTACCTATGATGTTCCTGATAGCCACACGTGAGAATTGTTGTTGAAGTTTGTTATCTCTTAACATTTAGATCCTGTAAATTATATAAATGCTGGACTGATCTCCACATAAGCCAAAGATTGATACATAGCTTTGGATCTCTTCTACATGTCGTAACTTTTCCTGTGTTTTATAAAGCCCAAGTCTTTAACTATAATTCTAGTAAGTAGATATAGGAACATATGATTTTTATCTCCTGGTTACTTAGCAGAAAGCTTGCATTTGGAGATCATCTTATTAAAAGAGAGTGATATATGGATTTAAAAGATTAGAGTTAAGGTTTCATCCGTATTTTGCTGCTTATTAATTAAAGGCCTTAATTTGCTTATAGTTTACTTTTTTAATTCCATGTTATGATTGGATCACTGTATTATTTAGAAGCTGCAACCAAGATCAAGGATGCATATTAAATGCTGAAAAGCCACATAGTAAAAGGAAGCCTCTACTTGGCACTTGAAATAAAACAAAATCCACAGGGACTGAGGAGGGAAAGAAGTATCTTTCCTGACTGACTTCATTATTTTTCTATGGCACAGTGACTTGTTCAAGGTCATAGAAGAAATACATTTTTGTATTGATGAGCAGGTGGAAAAGAAACAGAGGATGTTTAATCTGCACCTTCATATGCAGCTTTTTTACTCATTTCCTATGGAAACATGTCTTCTGTGATCATGTTCGTGCCTTTCTCCCCCTTTTTTCCTCTCCACCCATAACTTTTGGGTCCATTGATTAATAAAAACAAATTTGAAGGAGGAGTAAAAGACTGAAATAGAATTGTCTTTCTACAAATGTTGTGAAAGCAGATGACAGAAAAAGGGAAGAAGAAACCATCAGAATGCCCATGCTATGGTAAAGCTGCAGCCTCAGTTCACATTCACAAGAGAGAACTAGATATATATTCCCAGCCATGGGAAAAACTTCTATAATGTCATATTGGCTCTCTTTCTACTCTGCCGTAGGGCTCTAGAGAGTAACACACAGTTGTCCATGCTACATACACTACTTTGATTTGGCTTCAATCTGGAGTAGTAATAAGTAATACATAGTAGTAAGAAGTGTTCTTAGGGAGGAACCCTGGCGCAGAACGGAGGCTACTTTTCTGCAGCTTCAAGACTTGCACCCTACAAGCCAATGGAGACAAACCAATCTATAGTTTTCTCAGGGATGAGGTTCATTCCTTGGTGCAGATCACAAAGGTAGCATAGATGTAATCAGAGCAGAAATCGCACTTTTCAGACAAAAGATGCTGATCATTGGAAAGTCAGGCATGTCTGTTCTGATGATTGTGGAACCATTTGTTTAATGATAATGTTGTTCTTGAATACATATGGTAGGGAGGAGGAAGAATTCCTTTGGGAGGGCTTTGGAAACCTTTCTCTCAAACTGCAAGGCACTGGATTGTTTCTTTTTAGGAAGGAATTGGTACATCTTGCATCTTTGATTTTATGCTAATTTTCCTTCATATGGTCTGTTTCTGTTAGAGCCTAGACTGTAGTTCTGCAGTGTGTCATGGTAAGCAGCATGTAGATTAGTGCCATGTGTTAAAGTTGGAAAGTTTCTTCACTTTTTTTGCTTGCTTTGTGGCAGCTTGTATTAAATAGTTTCCCCCTCCCCTTTTTTCTCAGTTGTGTGGTTAGGAATTGCTTTATTGCTTGTGTATCCTGTAGCAGTGTTTAATATTAGTTAGATATTTGGCCATACATACTTCCCTGAAATCTTACACCGGTTTTCATTGATGGGGATTTCCTGGGTGCTCACACGCCTTTCTTTTGTATCTTCTCCCCAGATACATGTCTTGGGTAATCACAGAAGTGTTATGGTATAAGCTGTGCAGTGTAACTTCTTTAATTAGAGACTATTTGGCCGCCATCAGAGACTTCTGTTCAACTATCTTGTAGTGAATTTGAGCACAAGTGCCAAACATGGTGGACTATTGACTTCATGTCATTTATCATTCCTCCAAAGGAATTTCATCTTGCTCTTCCTGACCAAAGTCTTATGTGTAGTGAGCAGGGTTTTCAACCTCAACATAAGCAGTTTATGTCTATTCTTTATTTTTATTTCTTCACCGATGATAAAGTCTCCTTATAATTAAAAACATCAATCATATCCATTCCTAGCTTAATTTTGCTAGACTAAATCAAGATCTTCTCATATTATAGACTCTTAATTTCTCTGATCACTCAGATAACTTTCCACACTTTCTTGTAGGAAGATTAATTTAAACTGGTGGCTAGAACTGTACTTAATATTCCAGAATAGGTCTTGCCAGGGCTTTGTACTATACGACCACCCTTCCTGCTTCTGGAAATTCCATGTATAATATATCCAGGGCCACAGATCTTATGGTTGCTTCATGCTGGTTGCTAATAAGCCCACTGCGATTGACTGGTTTTCGAGTCATACTTTTGGTGAGCTTTCTGCTTCTTCGTTTTAATTGTGTTCCTGTAGTTTCTTGTAGCTAATGTTACATGACTGGAGGCACTCTGGCCAGCCCATAGAGCATGAAAGCTTTTAGGCTTGCCTCCAGATATTGAATGGAACTTGTATATTCCAGCTACTTTTTGGAAGAGGTGGAGTGTGAATGGTCTGTATTTAATACTGTATCTGTTGACAATGTATATAAGGCAAAGGGTGTTTGTCCTTTGCCCCAAACGTTTATCTGTTTTAGCACTGTAAAGAGCCTAGTCTTAATGAAACTGTAAGAAATTTACTTAAATCCAGCGTAAACTGTAGTACCACGTACCCTTCTGCAGGCAGCAGTGCCAACTTCAGCAACTCCTGTCCTGCCCCTCTGGCCACTGCTTCAACCCTTAGGCGGGCCCTAAATGCTATTCTTTTTTCTTGAGTCTACATTAATTCCATGCTTTGTTACAGCATTGTCCTACAACGGTTTGAACCCGCAAAAAGTGAATGGTGACAAAGGGTCTTAAATGAGTGGCTGAGAAGAGGTAGGACAGGGAAGGGACCACGTAAAGCCCACACCACCAGTCTAAGTGTCTGTTGAATGCTAAACTTCAATTGTCAGTACTCCTGCTGGGGCCGTACAGCTGTACAAAAGATGCTGCCTGTGGAGTCAGTGAGGCTGCTTGCATGAAACCAAGTCCTTCACCAGTGGTGTTGATGTTCGGTTTAATGGGTGTGAGCTGGAGCAATAGGCTTATGCTGTAATTCCTTACCCAAATCAGGTGTATCAAAGACAAAAACTTTCATGGTAGTGTTATTTTCTACTCCTACCTCAAGAGAAATAAACCAAAAATGACATAGTCCTAAAATTAAATTAAAAGCATGTACATGCCATAGGTTATGTATAGTGAGATGGAAACCTCTGTATTATTTGAGAAGAGAGGAACCTGTGCGTTCAGAGCAGCTGTACCGTAGCCTACAACACCAAAACAAAAAAAAAAAACATCTGCAAACAGACGAAGCCTGTACTCAAACACAGATTCGGTGGTATTTGGACAACAAAATGGCTGTGGTTGTGGCTATAGGTGATCCACAGGAGCGCAGCTGGAAGGAGCCGGGGGGAGGGGGAGCCCCGACCCCGCAACCGGGGTCCGTTTCCGGGCCGCGCTGGGGTCGGGCCGCAATTACCGAGGGCGAGTCCCAAGGACTTACTGCGGGGCGCTGCGAGACGCGGGGCGCGCAACGCCCGCGGCTGCCTTCCCGGCGAGGCTCTTCGGCCGCCGCGGCTCCGCAGGGCCGGGCCGGGCCGGGCCGGGCCGGGCGACCAGACCGAGTCGGGCCGGGCCGGGCCGGGCCGGGCCGGGCCGGGCCGGGCCGGGTCGTGGCGCTGCGCGGGGGCGCGGAGGGCAGCGCAGGGGCGCGGGAGGCAGCGCGGAAGGCGGCGCGGGGCCGGCGCCCCCCTCGGGGCGGGCAGCAGGCCCGGCTGCCGGCGGCGTCGCCGGGGCGCGGCGCGCAGGCGCGGGGGGCGCGAGCATGCGCGCTGGGCGGCGGGGAGCCCGATCTGATAGGGAGCAGGGGCTGACACTACCCCCGTGTGGGCGGCGGAACGTCCCGAGGATGACGTGCGGCGTTCTCGAATCCCGTGTCTCGCTCGCTCGCTCGCCGCCGCCGCCGCCGAAGGAAACGGGAAAAGCAACAAGGAGGCAGGAGCAGGCGCGGCGCCATGGCGGCCCTGGAGCGGCCCGTGCCCAGTCCCGAGGCGTTCCTGGGCCAGCCCTGGGCCGCCTGGGTGCGGGAGGCCGCCCCCCCGCACGCGCACGGCGCCGCCCCCCCGCACAGTAAGGGCAGGGACCGGCCCGCGGCTCGGCACGCCGCTCCCCTCCTTCGGAGCGCACGCACGGCGGCGGGGCCAGGGGCCGGGGGCCCGACCGGGCCACCCCCCCTTCTCCTCCCCGCTTCAACCCCCTCCCCTCCCCCCCACCCGCTCCGGGGCCGCGGCGGGAGGTGCCGCCTCCACCCCCCCCCACCCCCCCCCCCCCCCGCCCCGGGCGCTCAGCTGACGCGCCGAGCCCCCGGTGCCATGTGTGCGGGAGGCGCTGGCGCACGCCGCGCCGTGCCGCTGCCCCGCGGCGCGGGCTCCGCCGCTGGGCCGGCGTCGCGGTGGGGGAAGGGGGCGAGGGGGAGGATGCGCGGCGCGGAGGGGCCGGAGGATGCTGCGGGGCGGGGGGGGCGTGGGGGGAAGGGGTGGAGGGTGGGGGGTTGGAGGGTGCTGCCGCGGGGGGCCCGGCGGTTCCGCTCCCTGGCAGATGCTCCGACCATTGTGCTTTTGCTGTTGCAAATAGAAACACTGCTCACCTCCTTACCTCTCCTCCTCCCCCCCTCGCCAAACAATAAATGCACACCTCTGGGCCCTCGGAGCTTCCTGACTCTGCTTCTCTTCTGCAGGTGTAGATCTAGAAGAGACTGGAAAGGAGGGTGGAAAAAGCAGGGAGGTTATGAGGCTTAATAAAGAAGGTAAGTGGATAGTGCTGGCACACCTCTCTACCTGTCTGTCTCTTGGTGGCTGTGGATGACTGTGGTTTGGCCTTGACAGGGTAGTCTAATAGCATATGGATCTCTCTGCCTTGAAGAATGTTTCAGGGTTGGATACATGCAGATGACTGTCACTGTGTCAACTTCTTTTGAAGTACGAGCATAACAGGTGCGTGCGACTGACAGATGTGGTAAAAGATTAGGCGATTTTAAGTCAAAAGACAACTACGCATCAGTGGCCATATTGGATTTTTTTCAAGGACCCTGTCCCTTGGTGCAATGTTTCACTTACTTCTGTGTGAAGATAAGCATATAAACCCATGCATCGACTTTAAACGTTATATTACCTTTAATGACTGTAGTGAAAAACACTTTTCACTCGCAGAGAGAAATGGTCTGTTACGATCTTTGAGTTCAGTCACTTCAGCCCAAGTTGCATTTTATTGTTTCATTCTCACTACTGAGTGTGACTTACAGTCAGCTGAGCGGCCAACGTCTAATATTATCTTCCATTAGGCTAAGCCATGCATATTATGCAAAACCAAATGTAATGGGTCGTTTGGGCCATAAGGTTTTCTGGTACCATAAGTATGAATAGGCAAATTTCAGGCTAATGCTATTTGCTGATATGCCATGCCTGACACAGTTCTGCTAGTTGCAAGAGGAGAAACTTAAGTGGTGAGCGTAGGCAAATCAAATTTGTCCATTTTGTTTGCGACGTGGGTCATTAACATCAAGCTGGAGCAATACCTACTGCAACTAGTGAAATGGTTTGGGACATATTTTCATATAGCTGTTTGTTTCTGTTCTGTTAAGAAAGCAGTATACATGTACAACCTTTCTGTCATGAGAACTTTGTGAAGTCAGTTCATAATGAATGATCCCGTCGCAGTGAAACTTCAATGTGACTTACTGATGCTGAGAGAAATCCCACTATTACCTGTAATGTCATAATATATATTCTGAAATAATGTCAAGTCTCTTGTTATATTATAATTGTCATTACATGTGTGTTTAATTTTGAGCATCTTGTCAGCTTAAAGGAATCTTATGTTTTCTAAAGAAGCTCTTGAAAAAAGAATGAATTAATCAGTAACATAGATTTGTGTAATAAACTATAAAATTGCATGGAGTCCACATTAAATAAAATTATTTAAAATACCATAAAACCTCCCTTTTGAAAGACCTTTATAGAGATGCCAAGCTTCATTGTGTTCCTGTCTTGATTCTGACAAGCCTGAACCTCTCTATTTTGACAGCGCAAAAATAAGTTAGAAGCAGAACTGGGATTTACATTTAGTACATGTATAGGTAAAAGTTCAAGGCTCCACCAGTTTGTACGTCTGTCAGTAACGTTGAGCATATGTGTGGTTTAAAAGTAATGGAATAAAAATCTTGCTACTGGAGCTTGGCCTTCATAAGGAGCTTAATTTGTTGAGATAAAATGTTTTGCGGGTAGAAGTCCTTGAACACGAATTCTTTATAATAAGCTTACTTGAGAAATAAAGATCGAAGCGCATCCCTATGCCTTAGTCATATATAATATGCAAATTGTTTCCTAGAATGATTCAGTTTAGATTATGAGCTCTAGTCTCTCGCTGTTTGTTTTTGGAGGGGTTAGAGACTCCGTCAGAGGAGCTCTATTTAAACTCACTATCCAGAAAAATTATTTCCAAAGTGTACTGTCATTGCTGACATTATGATAGTGACAGGTGTGAAGCACTTATTAGCTTTTATAGCACTTATATTGTATTACAGTTTACAAAACCAAAACTGACTTACATTTAGAGAATAAAAAACTTTAAGAATTTTATTTCTTCTAAGTAGTAACTTGCTTTGGATTACTTAGAAAGAACTTTCACAAAGTTTGAATAAATTAGTATGTGTTGAAATATTTCTGCTGTATTCACTTAAGCAGTCGGTTAATACTGGTGTTTTCACCACACCCATCTGTGTGTCTGAACACCCACTGTAAACCTTCCTTGAGCCTCGCTATCCTTATTAATAAAGGTGGGAAAAAATTTGAAGAGTTAGACTGGTCTGCAGAAAACATTGCTCATATACTTGCAGAAACACTTGTGCTCTTACTTCGATCTTGCACACATCTATCATGTGACGTTGACTTTTTTGTCTGGTTTCTTCAGAGACAAGGGTTGTGGTCATGGTAGGTCTTAATATCAAATCCAATTCAGTTTTCTTTGCAATCTTATCTATTTGAGTAGGCCTTCTTAATGGTATTAGTGGTGCCAAGAGATTGTAAGCAGTGCCTTAGAAAACTCAGACTTTACTGGTACAAGATAACTGGGGGATGGTGGACAGACAGGACTTTAAGTATCAAAAATTACTGTCCAGTTTGAAAATGATAGTGTAAAGTCTGTTCTCACTGTATTTACTTCTTGTAATATTTGTCTGTGTTTTGTCAACTTTAGTCGATATGACCAGATTTACGTGGCCGTTCCCTTGTAAGCAGTTAAGCAAGGAGCCTTTTTAGACTAGTGAAACTGTGTGTGGAGATCATGTTGGGAAGAAGGGGTGGAAAGATGGTGTTCTCCTTCCGACCATGACAAGGTGTTTCACTTTGGTTTTGTAGAAAAGAAATTATGTCAGATGTCAAACAGTGCTTCCAGCTAGCTTCATCCCTGCGTCGCTGCCTCCTTTCTGGCTGTGTACTATATGTGTTTAGAGCGATAAATTGCTCTTCCTCCTCCTGTTGAGCCAAGGGGGGGGACCTGGGAGGCAGCATTCCCCGGTGGTAGTGAGGAGAAGCACTGCTAAATCTCCACCTGCCAAAGTGCTTGACACTCCTTAGCACATCCCTGGGCAAAGGGGTCGCAGCCGGGCTGTGCTGTTCATTTCTGTAATGCAAGAGATTCGTCAAGGCCATGTGCCCCATGACCCATCTTTAGGGCAGAAGTAAAGCTGTAGAAATACTGCTCAGTGCTTTCCTTTATTCTACAGTGTATATGTAGGCAGCACAGAGGGAGAGAAATTTCCTGAACGTTTGTTCAGTTTTGGAGATGGAATTGCTTTTTGCATGCTAATACTTACTTTATGTTTTGCTTTAGCAAATGCAGTATGTCCATGGTTGACTTTTACTGACACCTAGATTCAAGGAGAGGGGATTACAAAGTTGCAAGTGTTCACAGAAAATGAAAAATTTTATGCATAAATGTTTGTGCCAGAAAAAAAAAAAACAACTTATCTGCTTATCTAATCAGGAAACAGAAACGGTATTGTGTAACTTATCTGACAAATCACTACCAACCAACCAGTTTAGCTAAAAGAGGGGTTATCAGAATTGGAGCAGCATTTAGAATTTTTATTGACTTTTAAAAAGTTGGATGGTGTATTTGAAGAATTGAAGATTTTCTTGTAGATAGCATGCATAGCAAAAGGAGTCTATATTTGACAATTTGTGACCTGTAAAAAGTCACAGTAACTGTATGCCTGAGATAGGTACAGTGATCTTTTAGTATCAGTCAAAACCTGTAACTGATTTTAGATTAATTTTGGAGGAATATGTTTTACTTTATACCATATTTAAGAAAATAATAGAAGGATATGGTTTGGGGTTTTTTTTTTGGTTTTATATACAGAACTCTTATTAATAATTGGTTTAGTAAATGTGCAAGCATTAAGTGTTATGAGTATTTCTAGGCAGGCACAGGCTGTAAAGGAGCAAAAGGTATCCTGTGTGTCTTCATGAACTACAGCAGGGTTAAATATGACCTATGGGATTTAGATCTATATCTGGGTACTTGGTGTCATAGTCAACTTCAGTTTCTCAGTTCAGTGAGTTTGTATTATTGAGGTTTCAATCTGATGATGTGTGTGTTTTGTCTTAGATAATCTTTTCACTAACCATACTGGCTCATTATTGTTTAACGCTAAGGATGTTATGTAAAAAATTATATTCTGGTTTTCTGATGTTGTGTTAAAATCAGAAATACTCTGTCATTGTTGCACAGCCCCATACTTGACCATTTTACTTGGTGATTAGACATACAAACTGGAATGTTAAATCTATTGGATAGTTGTTTACAGTATGTTTTTCCTATTTTGACTTCCCACATAAAGATCTGATGGAAGGCTTTTTGGTTCATCTTTCAGCAACGTCATAACAAAATTAAAGGGATACTGATTAGTTTTGCTTTCAGTATTTTTTATTCTTCAGAAAAATATCTCAATGATTTTATCATTCTTCATGGAAAAATAAGAAGTTAAGGAGGCTGTGCAATGGTAGGGAACACTTCTATAGGAAAAAACTAATGTAGCATACAACATTATACTTTATGAAAAGCAAGAGGAAGAGAACTAAAATTGGAGGAGATTGTGAAAGAAGAGAAGACGACACAAAGCCAGCTGGTTAATGTAAGCATAGGGATTGGAGTTGATCTTTTTTTTAATTATTATTTATTTTTTCATTTACTAGTGGTTTGCCAGTGGTGCTGTTTGTATCCTTTAAAAACATATCAAACAAAAAGTCAAGAATAAAACCTTCTTGTTTTTCTTAGCCACCTTCATCTTTCATCTTTTTGTAGTGGTAGGGAATGCTGGAAAGGGCTGAGGGGGAAGGAAAATTACAACAAAGTTTTAAACACATACCCCAAAAGAAAGAGGTGAGGTTATGAATTTATACCCCCTTAATTGGTGATTTGGGGTTGGTTTTGGTTTTGGTTTTGCAGTGGGCAAAAGAGAGGGGTGAATGTTGTATAACTTTATTTCTTTTCCCTGTAAGCTAATAAGGTCTTCCAGAGATACTGATTCTTAAACATGTAATATTCAGATGGAGCTTGGTGAGTGAAAGAACTGAGAATTGTCAGGGTACAACACTGTGGCTGTTGTCAAAAGAAACTTTTTCTTACCATTCTTATCTTTATACTGGGAATAAGAATAGTAAGCAAAGGTCCCCATGAGGGTTTTCTTGAGGATGAGAAATGTCAGTGGGGTTGAATTCTGGTGTTTAAATGCCTAATCAGTTC